GGTGGAGAGTTTCTCTGTCACTGCTATCCAGAGGGAATGAACTGGTTGGCAGGTCCAAGTAGCATGAAAGTAACTGTCAGTGCAACCTAGAGTGCATTGTGAGCAGATGTCTGTGTCAGTGAAACCCATTTTGAACATTTTACTTTGTGTAATATGGGTCCTGTAAATGGTCTTGTATAAGTTGAAAGTTTACATTGCTGGTCACAGAAAAGAAGTCCAGAAGTCGGAGTTGAGGGAGAGAGTTAAATCATTTTCCCATTTCAGTTTTGGTATTGCTATTGTTGAGTCAGTATTTGATGAGTTTATATAGCTTGGATATTATTTTCTTGGAGGATGTCATTTTCATCATCTCTTCAATTAATTTGGAAGGCTGTAGTGGGTTATTGGTTACACTAATCTTTGACTTACTTATGGATTTTAGCTGATTGTACTGGAGGAACTGTTCTCTCTGAACTCTGTACTTCTGGATCAGTGTATTAAATGATATGAACTGGTTATTTTCAAATAGGTGATGTAAGTGAGTGATTCCTTTGTGTTGCCATGTTGGGAAATAGATAGGGTTATTATGCAGTTGAAAATCAGGGTTGTACCAAATTGGAGTGTATCTACATGGTGCAAGTGATGATTTAGTGGTTTTGTTTACTTTCCACCAGGCTGTCAGAGTTGAGAGGATTGTGATGTTCTTACAGAAATTCATTTTCTTAGTAGAGTTTGGTAGAAAAGGGAGAGCCAATGTACCAGAGTCAAATTCCTCATGTGTGTCCAACACACCTGGCCAATAAAGCTTATTCTGATTCTGATTATGTGCATATGGGTTTTACAGGGGCAGTCTTTGTTTTCTGGCAGAGCTGCTACTGCTTTGACCTGTAAACATGAATTTAAAATCATAATAGGCAGTTGTTTAGGACATTAACTTAGTGGCTGCTGAAGAGGCTTCCACTCATTGTAGAGAAGAGTGCTCACAGAAGAGCTGCAGACATTTTCACACCTCACTCTCAGCTGTTTGTACCCATTGTGCTCTGTAGTGAGAAAAATCACTTGGTCTTTCACATTCAATCAATACTGTGCACTCCACCCTTCACTGTGAAAATGTTTTGTAGGTCGGAATAGACACCTTTCAGTCTCTGTATACCTTGCCTTCATCATGTTGATGACTATGGAAATTAAGGACTTTCTGCAATGAATTTGTATATTTGTGTGCAAATCAACAACTCAAAGCTTATTTACACCAAAACTACTTCATGAAACTGCTCCACAGCTGCTGTGTCTTCTTTAAAGTCAGACATAACTAACCTTTGATCAAAAACAACACGGATTAGCAGAAACACATCTTTTGCTTAAACTGTTGGAAAAAAGAGACATTTTGAAATCTTTAGACTTCTGAGGTCTGCCAATTTTAACAGGAGTTTAGGATGAACCTAAAATTTGCTGCCAAGACTGAGACATGTCAGCTCTAACTCAGAGGAGTATCATTGTGACTATTTACATGCACTTAAGTAACCAGATTACATTAAGCTTTCTCGAGTAAGTTGATTTCTTAACTGTCATGTAAATGGGAAACCTGGTTTCTGTAACTGGGGTAGGGGATTAGGGAAACCTGATTTCCCCAGGTAGATTTCTCCCAGATAACGATGAATTCTCCACCATGTATATGCATAACCACGTTTCTAATCAGCTTTCTACAAGGTTGCTTGTGCACATGTGACTTGAGAAAAAGACAAGTTGTCACCAGCATAAACAGACTATTATCAACATGATGAGCAGCAGCAACATCGCAGAGAAAGCAACTATGAAAAGCCGGCATTACTGGAGTGATCAAGAGACCTTACTAATGCTGTGTGTGATGAAAGAGGACTAATGTCTTGATTTGCTGGTGAAACATTGCTAAAGAAACCAAAATACAAGCTTGATCAATCAAGTTAATCTTTGTTGATGGGAGATTGTAGTTGCATAATAATATCAGGCACACCTGAACAGTATCTTTCCACCTTCAGTGGGCTAGTGTGTGTGTGTTGGCGGGGTCAGGTTACCTAGAAGCTCATGTATACTGGGTTTTTTGAGTAACATGTTATATGATTTCTGCCATAACCTGGTTTCTTAAGTACATGTAAACGCAGTCACTGTTGTCTCCCAGTGCAATGTAGCCACTGAGCAATAGACTATGTCACATTATGCAGTTATAATGAAATGTCAATAATGTGCCATGTGTGATCTGTGGAAGATGTCATTTAATAAAATCAGCAATAAAACAATGTAAAAATACAAATGAAAGTCCTGCATTCAAATTTAGAGCAAAGTATTTTCAGCTACATGTACTTAAATTATTACAAGCACTCATTCTGCTGATGAACTATTTAATTAATCAATTAACAGTTTCAGCTCTATATAGTACATTTGAGTCACAATCAGAATCATCTTTATTTGCCAAGTATGTCGAACACACAAGGAATTGGAATCCAGTACAGTGGCTCATAATGTGCCTTGTAAGTAACCTAGAAAAATAAATATGGGCATTAAAATAGAGAAACAAAACAGACATCTATTAATAAATATATATATACGACGTTATATACAATGTGAAAGAAGAGTTTTTGGCCATGTCCAGTGGTTATATTTACAAATTTCTGCTACATTAATGTTTCAAGTGTAAATGTAGTGGCCTATAAATGACCTTATTCCCTTTCAAATGTTGGGAAGCAGAATTGTAAAACAGACAATAATGCAGTTATTCAAGTAAGTACAACATTTTACTTAGATACATAAGCACGTAAATAAATGACTGATTTATTCCTCTGGTATAAAACTCTTCTCTACTACTGCTGTAATGTGTTATTGATGATAAGATGTGTCCGTTATTGACCACAGTTTAGTAGACGGGCGGGGCTGTGCGCCTCCCGTGCGCCTCCCGTGCGCCTCCCCCTGCCTCTGATGCAAATGAAGGGGCTTACCCGGATCTACCGCTGCAGATATTTGTCAGGCTCCTCCCTGCACTTTTTTTATCGCCTTATAACAGGATATCTCACTGGCGCGAAAAACGCACTGTGTCTCTCTGTTACACATTGTGGGGCGGACCTAGTGCCTGTTGTTGGAGCCCCGGTGTTTTTCGCCGTTTTTAAGCGATACTAAAGCAGAAGCATCGACTTGGTCGAAACAGCGCGTCTTTGTATCCAGGAGCAACTCGGACAGCGTTTCTCCATATGATCTCCGTGGACCACGGTCACTGCTCCTTGGCTGCTGAGGGATTTCCACTGCTCACAATTTGGTTCTGAGATTTTGCAGAGATACGGTGAGTAGTTTTATTGTAGTGTAAAAGTTTCAGAAAGCTGTCTGTGAGGCTTTGGTCCCACTCGGACTGTGTAGGAGCCCACTTTTCCTCTTCTAGGTTCACATGAACGCTCACAGGAACAAAGCGCTGCCTGCATTTCAGGAAATACAGCCTGATGTGTTAGTTGTACGCAGGACAGTTCTACAAAACTAAGTCTGCCATTTTCACATGTCTCATTTCCATTTAGAACTTGCTATGGGTTATATTTGACACCTATATATAACTAATTATGCAATAATCTTTTGTGCCTGCACAGTTTGAGTCCATCACTACAAAGCGCGCATCCGCAAGATGCAATCTATTATTAATGCGGTCCCATGTGTAGAAAGCAGGCTGTTAGGGCGATTTGATATCCCTACAAGCCATTAGATGGATACTTGAAATGTGATCATACATCTGCTAGGCCTACTTTAGAACCAGATCATGGCTAATCACGGTGCTGTTTCCCCTCCAGGCTGTGCAGGACGTTCTTCGGAGGCGACAGTCGTACCTTTCGTCGAACACTATAGAAGATTCTATTAGCTGGAAATATGGAGTTCGACTGTTACCAGCCCTATTTTTTCGATGATTTCGACACTGAGGAGGATTTTTACAAGTCAACCGCACCGAGCGAAGATATATGGAAAAAGTTCGAGCTGCTGCCCACCCCTCCCATGTCTCCCACCCGGACTCTGAGCGGTGCTGCCCTGCAGATCTCACCGGGAGACAAACGCAGCTGGTTGTCCAAAGTCCTGGGCCAGGACGAGGACCTCGAGGGTCAGTTCATCCCTGAAACAGAGGAACTGTTCGGCAACCTCAGCTCCATCATCATCCAAGACTGTATGTGGAGTTGTTTCTCTGCCAGTAAGCAACTAGAGAAGGTGAAGGGCAGAGTGTCAGGTGTGGCGCAGACCACTGTCTCTCCCGTGGCCCAGATCTCCATGAGACCAAGCAGAGCGCACTGCGTCTCACCTGGTGGCCCGCACGCCGTGTTGGCGACGGACTGCGTCGACCCCACGGCTGTTCTCACCTTCCCGGCAAGCAGCTGCAGGAAGCCGGCGTCGTCTGGCTCCGAGTCTCGCTCTGATTCCTCTGGTAAGGAAGCAGTGATATTGTGAAGTGCCCCACCCTGCCCATGCCTCTGGATTCTAATGCCCTCTAACAATGCGTAATTTGGAAAGCTGGGCTGCTGTTGCATTACTGTGGTCTGAGATGCAGCAGGGCTGTGAAGTGCAGGAGCCTGTTGTCACTTTACAGCTGGATATTTACTCTCACTTCCCCATTTTTATTAGGAGATAATCTAACATAGGTAACAACAAACAGCAGACATCCAGAACAATAGTTCATGAAACTGAATACAAGGGCATACCACTTTTATACCCAAATGACATTGAGCTAGGGAAATAAAACATGTAGACAAACTAATTAAACTAAAGGGAAACAGACAAAAGTAAAGTTAAATACAAACAGATATTACATACTACACATTAATGATACCTTGACAAAAGTGGTTATTTCTATAAGCTGTTGTTGATTTTTGTTTTTATTTATTATGTTTGATAGATTCAATGGAACTTTGTAATTCAATTACAAATTATTGAAAAGATGAGAGACTTTGGTGAATTTAGACTTCTTTCCTCTGACATTCCCAGTGCGCCACATGCTTGCTCTGACACATGCAGTCTTTTAAAAACCGCGCCCCATGACTTTTACTTGAATTTCCTCCTTCACTATCTTCCACTGCTGCATTACAGGGTGCAGTAGAGGGGCGGGGTGATCGAGTTCTGATGATTTATTACTACTTCACAACCAGCTACAGCCCATGAGAGCAACTCGTTCACATTTCCCAAATTAGAGAATGCACCCTGGGGGCAGGTCTCCTCATTGAAATTGCTGTTATGTTCTGCTTGTTAATCAATGGCAAAAGCTTGAATTCCTGCAGGCCTTGGCACTGATGACCACTGCTGTTCATACCTCAGGTCCTGCTCTGTCCTAAGACTGAGGAACACTGATTTGCATGCTTGGTTAAGCAAGGGCACTTCTTTATTGCCCTTTAGTTAAAGCTTGATTAAGCTTTACTCTGTTCTTAAGCAGGCATGTGAAGCTTGTAAAGTATTTTAACATCTTCCATTAAACTTTTTTCTATGTGCATTGATGAGGTGTTTTCCTGTGTTAATCACAGATGATGAGGAAATCGATGTGGTCACTGTGGAGAACAAGCAAAGCCGGATGCGGCTGGTGAGTGTCAGAAAACCGGTCACCGTCACGGTTCGTGCAGACCCTTGCCCCAAACGCTTTCATACGTCTGTCCACCGGCAGCAACACAACTATGCTGCCCGCTTTCCAGACAGTGACCCAGAGTGTGAAGAGGAGGAGGAGGAAGGCGAGGAGGAAGGCGAGGAGGAAGGCGAGGAGGAAGGCGAAGAGGAAGGCGAGGAGGAGTATGAGAAAGAGCCTCAGAGCAAACGTGCCTGCACGGTGTTTACTAGGCAGTCAAGCTATTCGGCTTGCGTATCCCAGCCGGCCTCCCCCTCGGAGACACCCCAGAACTCAGACGCAGAGGACACTGACCGCAGGCGGAACCATAACTTCCTAGAAAGAAAGAGGAGGAATGACCTAAGGTCCCGTTTTCTTGCCCTACGGGACCAGATCCCTGGCTTGGAGTCAGCCAAGACTCCTAAGGTGGCCATCCTGACCCAGGCAACAGAGTACCTCATGGAGCTGCACGGCAGGGAGAAACAGCAGCTCCAAGAGAAGAGACGCCTCAAATCCCGACAGCAACAGCTCCTCCGCAGATTATCTGAACTGAAGCGCTCCTGAGACACAGAGAAGTGTGCTTTTGAAATAAACTGCCTCATTCACATTCAAGTCTCAAGTTACTCGTCACTTTTGAGAAGCAACCAGTTTTATATTGACAACAGGTCTCATGTAAATAGCTGTGAATTTAGTTTGGAGCATAGACTGTTTCTGTTGTTCTGGGTTTCCAATGAATTGACTATACTGGCCTGTGAACCTGTTATGGGGAGGAGCAGTTAGATGTCAGTGTGCTGTGTTTGGTTTTGTTTTTTTTGCACAGTCATTTTTAGTTCAGAAGGGGGCGTGGGGGTTACATGAATTGATTTTTATAGCTATGACCAAGTTATTTCCTGGTATGCTGTGATGGTGCTTTATAGTGTGATGTTGAACATACGTATGTAGCCTTCAGGATGTGTGTGAAAGTTGTCTTCATTTTATTATTGCACACTTATAATGGAGTGTGAAGGACTTTCTGTGTACAGAAGCATGAATGAATGAGTTGGCTCCTGCTATGTTTGGTTTTGTATGACTGATTGTTTAATGTACAAATTGTTCTGTAAATAATAGCTTATCGCTGCTGGTGAAGGAGACAAAATCAGAATTGTCTCCGAGCTTTGTCCCTTTGTATGATGTGCCACCAGGCACAGAGGGGCCTTTATTTTGATAAGAAAATAGGAAAAATTGACAAAAATGAATAAGTAGCACTGCTGTACTTTATATTCACCCGTCACTTTGTGACTTCAATGTGATTGAGGCTTCTCCTAATTTGGTTTATTTTTAAAGCATGCTAACCACAACATAAAACTTTTATATGTTTTCATAAAAACATGAAGTCATTGTGTTTTTTTTTAACTCAACACATCATTTATTCTCTAAAATACCCAGTACCTCAGATCATCTTGACCTTGGTATCAAAATGGATTTATGCTCATCTCAAAATTACAGCCTCACCTTCCATGGTAACCTAAAGAAAACTGGCACCAAAGTGATTGAAATGTTTGAAACGAAACTAACAAATGACACACATTATCCTGCCTCGCACTACTGAAAGTGTGGTTGGGATCCATCACATACTGCTGTGGTAGTGCCTCTCCAAAAACACAACATACTATCACACACAAATCAGCTGTAAATGAGGGTTGATCGTTAAAAATTAGCCAAATGCTTTATTTCCCTGCTCTTTGCCACTTTGCGGCATCTGTCATTTAAACAAGCATGTGTTACGCACGAGCTGCTTTTCTGCAGCAGGTTAAATTGAGCTTGTCCTTGAGACGTGCCCTTGAAGAGAGCGTGTGTGATACTGTCGTGGATCCTCCCCTCTGCAGTGGCTGCTGCATGCTGGGCACCTGATGTGCTCTGAAGTAGGTTAAACACACACAAACACACCATCGGTATCTTTAGTTCTGAGTTTGTGCAGGTCATGTGAACAACATGTATACAGTTGGAAAGCAGCACTGCTTCATGTAAATGGATAATGGAAACTCTGTCAATGATTGGATCACACTACCCTCTTGACCCCATTTAAAAGGCTTGTATTTGTTATGTAAATCAAACAAAGTACGTAGGACACGCCCATTCAAAAAACTTATGCAGGTGTATTTGTTATGTGACATGATATTTTACTGCCCTTTGTTGTATACTCACTGGCTTTGTGGTCCATGTCATTTGTGGGTGTTGTGTGCCAGCTACAACGTTTATATGCAGCTGTTGTCCAACTTGTGTCATTAGAGGACTACACAGTCTAGTAAAGGAAGATTTCACTCAGTATTAAAACAATTCTTTTGGTACGTGAAAGCTTTAGACTTCAGGGAGTAAAAATGTTCCAGTGAGAGTATCCCTTAAGGCAAACATTTGACCCTACCAGGCAACGTGAGTTCCAAAATGAGCAGGACAGCATTTTTTCTGTTTAGCTGCTGCCCTAACAGTGACCTCACTGACGAGTCACTGCATGTCTGAGTGACTCAGGTTTGAGCTCCAGTCATTTGTTTAATAAACTCCAAGCAACGGTTTGGTTCTAGTACAGCCTGACAGACGAGCCAGGCACACCCTGAACTCCAACCGTCTTGCATCTCGCTGGCCTTTGTTATGGCTGGGGTTGGTCGGTGTTTCTCCTTCTGTGTTCAGTCTCTGGACACCAGTTTCAGCCCTGAGGGCACCATTTTCTGGTACAGTTAAATATTTCCTTTACAAAATCAGAATTTTGTCTCAGGAGCCTCTGGTGAGGTTGATAAATGACCCCATCACACACAATAGATGACAGAAGCTCTTTGCAACAATACTGCTTTTGCTACATTTTATTAAGAAACATCTGTAATATTGCTGCAGAACCCAATGCTTTGTAGTCCTCATATTCCCCCGGTACAGTGAGAACAAGCCAACCATCATATGAGGTGAACCTAAGTGAAATGGTGATGAAGACTAAGCAAGATGACTCCTTAAACTGACATTAGCTGCAGCTGCTGTGCTGTTTGTACTATACACTACATCAGGAAATGAAAGCAAAAATCAGATATCAGGTCTTGGGCCAGATACAAGCAAACTGTCTGATATATTTCTTGTTAATGTCTAACCACAAAATTCATTTGAAGTGATGAGGCACAAGAATAGTAAATCAATAATTAACAATAATGAGGTCAAGTTTCAAAGACTTTATCCAGGAGAAGTAGCTTTACAGAAATTGGTTAATGTCGGAAAAACAATGCAACAGTGTCACAGCAAAATGTACAGTGTTTAGTTCACACTATGGTTCTGGAAATCCAAATGAGAATGTTGCTAGTGTTTGGCGAATAATCATATTGTTATGTTGTCACTAAATCAAATCCCCTACAACCAACCTCCACAGGGCGGACTTTAACGTTCCAGCCATGCTCCTCCATGGCTAATTCTGGGTATTTCAGTTTCTTCCTTTCATAAGCTGTATCTACAGCATCCTCCCAGGGAACTGTAAGCTCGACAAAATACAAAGTCTGCAGTGCTTGTGACCACAACACAAAGTCTAGTCTGAGGTTAGTGCTGACTATCTCCTCAGGAGCTATGAGCTGATTCCCTAAATCCACTTTCATTTGCCAGTCTCTCCTTGCCTTTAGCTGACCTGCATCCTGCCTCTTCAAAATGACATGGTTCCTGTCTTTTTCAGCCTCACAAACAAAATCCCCTCTTGTTTCTTCTCCTCCTCCACTGAGTTAACTTCTAAGACAACAGACATTTGATTTCACCCAGTGAGATTTGAAATTATAAAGTGTAGCAGAATTGCTTCAGCTCACACTGTAATTGTTCAAATGTAATTAAGAGTGAAAAAAACCAAACACCAAAATTAGAATGATACCCTGCAGTTGTGCTAATGTTGACAATAAACACTCAGCAGTTATGGCACACACTGTTTTAAAAAGCTGGGGTTTTTCCTAAAATACACAATGAGGTAAGAAGATCTCTTCATCCTGTGGGATGCTCTGTTCTGTCAGTTAACTTGCTAGACCAGATTTTCTGCTCTGAAGATCATGCAACACCCACACGGGGCAGCTTCTGAAGTGCACGTGTGATCATTGCCACACACATTTGTAATGTGGCTGTCTCCTTTTAGAGTACACATGTATTATTGTCTCACATCTGTTTTCCACAATAAAGTAAGCCTTAAGTAGGTAAGTTCCAAACAGCTGCAACTTTTCACTGTCCTCCATATTAAATATCCAGTGTAGGTAAATGGAGACCCATACATGGCTGTGTCACAGAGGTTTAAATGTTCTCAGGGTAATAGACAGCATGTGCTAGCTTTGCTGGTGGTCACGCAGAAGTGTGTGATGTGTGTGGTCAGGGTGGGACTTTGGAGAATTGGTGATTTGGCTGGGTGGAGAGTGACATCTCTCACATGTTTCACTTACATAAAAAGCAATTTCACTAATCTTTCCTTTTCTTTTTCAGTCCACACACTTCTTCACTGTGATATGTGATGGTATTTACAGAACAGCTACCTGTTATAAAAAAGACTTATTAAAGCATGGAGCATTAGCACACAGAGCTGCCTGGGAAATACTGTGACTGAATAGTTGGCTAAATGCACAATTACTTCAAAACATGTTTGACAGAGTAGATCAGAGCTGTGTAACTGGGTGAGATAAGAGAGGAACGTTTCCTGGAGTCTGTGGGAATTTATCTCACATAGGTGTGTAAAAAGATACACATTGCATCCCAAAGTGTTAGTATAATCAGTATGTTTGTTACCTGTGGTATACAATACGTCACTTCAGAACAATGGCTTGACTTGTAAACACTAGCAGAAGAACATAAAACCTGATGAGCACATCTTACTTTTGGCAAGTCTCCCTGACAGGAGACAATACCGGTCATACTTGTCGCTCCGGCATGTCTTGCTGATAAACTACCACTGAGGTCAGACTCAGAAATCTCACACCAGGAATTTGACTCTGGTACAGTGGCTCTCAGTGTGCATGTACAATGTTCTTCCATAAGGTGTAAACAACATAACCAGTAAACAAATAAACAAGACGGTCCTTATGTCTGGTTGTTTTGGCAAACAGTAACCTGTAGTGCCGTCCAGGGGGGAGGAGTCCAAACAGGTTGTGTCCAGGGTGTGAGTATCTCATATATACATGCAAATCTTCAGTTTGTGTTAACTGCAACTTACCTTAAACACCACAAAGTGCATCCGTGCTTCTGGAAAGTGGGAGGATAAGCTTTCACAACTGTTCACATCCCCTTGCTGTCACTGTGATGAACCTCCTACCTCTGCACTTAAAAAAAAAAAAGGGTTTATCCTTGTTTTTATGGCATGTATACATGGCATGGTTGCACTGTGGAGCAGAGGGGGAAGTGGACTGTAAACGCACTGCACTGATATGTCATCCTGAATAGGTTATATAATATATGCCGAAGAGAAACAGGCTTGTCTTGGAGTAACCTTTTGATCATCTGTGTGAAAATGAGCTGTACTAGAACTAAATCCCCGTGCTTTGGGAGGCTTGGCTCAGGTTGTGCAGACAGATTTCAGGTGCTTGGAAGGAATCATACAGCTAGAGAGACAAGAAGTGGAATTGCTGTCATCCATGTCTTACTCAACACTCACCACACACCCTTCCCCTTATTCTATTTTCAAGCGGCTGACGGTCAAGGAAGATGGGGAAAGCACATGCGGGAAAAGACGCAGATACACACATCTGCTCGTAAGAACACACACACCACATACACAGGCTTGCAGAAACTATCCATCAGTCTGGCTACTGGTCCACATTCCAGCCCTGTTGTATCACTGGAACCCATTCAGGGCTGCAGAGGCTACTGTCCATCTGATCCTAATGAGGTTGTGAGGCTAACATAGAAAAACCACTTGAATATGCTGACATGCAAACAAGTAAACTTTATTTTACTCCATGTTCTCCTCTCTGTGTTTACTGTCACCTTGTTTCTTCATCCCTTCTTACCTGACATTAACAGCCTGCTGGCTCCTGTCCTCCCTTCAGGTACTTACAGTATCTACAACATTTGTTGATCTAGGTCAGTCTTCTGATCTCAGTTTCTCCCTCTCTCTCTGTGTCATTCGCCCTCCTCATCCTAAGGCCAGTGTTAGATAACAGTGATGATTTAATTAGAACAGGCTGTGTATGTTCCTCTGGATACATCTGGCGCTGTCTGACTGGTGTCAAACCAGTGTTTTGCTTTGAACCTCAGCCAGCCCAACATAGTGGGTAAACCGCACAAACACAGTAGGTGTCATCGGTTCCAGTGCAGCACCTGTTCTGCAGCAAGCTGTCTTGTAGCTGCCCTTTTCAACAAGCAGC